GTGTACTCAGACCAGTAATATTTGGGGTCACAAGTTTTTGCCATGGATACTTTGTGGGTCAGAAGATAAAAAGTTTGGGAACCACTGATATACATGACTGTCTTAGTGTGCATCAGTTTCAGTTTACATCTCAGGACACAGCTGTGGACCGAGCTGGGTGACGATGAATTTCTGAGCCCGTGTGACTAAATTAAAACAGTGACGTGACCGGTTCTCCTGTAGAGTTCTGAAAACTCTTTCAGAGAAGAGTCCAGCTTTGAGCTGAATCCCATTTTTACTCACTTTCACTCCGATGAAGGTTGTTGTGTATATGTTTGGATAAACCAATATAATTACCTCCGCCAAGGAGGTAATGTTTTCGGTCGCGTATGTCGTTCTGTCTGTGGACAACATTACTCAAAAACCTGAGGACGGATTGTCATGACATTTACAACACATGTGGGTACTGGGCCAAGTAACAACCACTAAATTTTGGTGATGTTCCGGATCACGATGCAGATACAGGAATTTTTTTTCTATTAATCCTCTCAGATCAGCATAGCTGTGATGCTTTCACAGGGCTTCTGTAAAAAACAGTGACAGCGTTCAGTGTTCATTTGAACTGGATTACACAGCACGGACTTCAAACTTCATAAAAATAATGTTAAAACCAGATGTAATGATGAATAAATCTTGCCATAATGTGCGCATTTTTACTCATTTGGTGCGCATTTAGAGAACGTCTTCTGACCAGGAAGTACATGACTGCATCATGAAACCTATTTTTCCCATTTCCTCAAACACACCACATTGTCGTAGGCTTGTAAACAGATCGATGAAGAACGAGGAAGAGGAGTGATGCGCACAGGTGCGGTGGACTTCAGACTCGGAGGTTGTTTGTTTGTTTTTTTCATTTTTATTTTTTAAATGAGACCAGGGGCGAGGTCGTGTTTTTAGTCGCACTGACCCACTCGCTTCCAGAGCGACGGTACCAGGAAGTACTTTATGAAGAGAGTCAAACCATTACAAACTCATACAAGGGGATAAAACAGACATTTTACATGGTGAAATGTGACTGATGAAAACTTAGGAGCTTAATCCCACACCAGTTTGACGATGAATAACATGGGGTGACGAATCTGACTTTTTTTTCCCCACGTTGGACTCCACTGAGAAGAAATCCCGTGCATACTGCTGCTTAAATGTTCACTACGTCAGGACTTATTCAGCAAATGTGTTTCCATCTCTGCTTTTGTGCATTTACTCTATTATAAGATGGGGGAAATTGGTCTTGGCGGAGGTTTGCACTCTCCGAGTGCTTCTAGTTTAGCAAGCGTTCATTCACTGATGCATCYATCATAAATAACAGGAAATAAAACCAACCCACCGCATCCTGAAAGCACAAATACTGTCCATAGCTCTGAGTTACCGCCTTATTCTTTGCGTATCCCACTGAAAGACACAAGAACATTGGATATTTCTGTTTGTGCATCTTGCATCGCATTGTTAGTTTTTCTTGTTTGTTTTCGTACATTTCTCAGATTAGAACTGAAACTAGAGAAATTGCATTTTTGTGAATGCTTCATGCTGAAAACAAGCTGAAAGCTGCAGAAATTGAGCTGAAAATATTGAATAGAAAAAGTGTTAAAGTGAGCTCACTTTGAAAAATTGACAGAAGCAAAGAAAAACACATAATTTTGCAAAAAAAAAACAAGTAAAAAGGAGCAGAAATGCAGTTGAAAACAACAGAAAACAGCTAAAAGCTAAGCGGTAAAACACCTGAATATAGCAAAAAGCATCTTTAAGAAGCATAAATAGCACAAAGTAGAAGAAAAAAACACAAAAAACCAAAAAAGCAGAAGAATAGCAGAAAAAAGCTTAATTTTAGCTGAAATAGCAAAAAAAAAAAAGCTAAAATTTGCGAATAAGTAGTTAAAATTAAACACAAGAAAGTGAAAAAGAGCATAACCAGAACAAAATGGTGCTGTAAAGATTTAGAAACATTTTGAAGGATTTTAAGGATGTTGAAAACAGCTCCATTCATATTCAATGGCAAAAATGTGGCTAAAAACAGTGAAATAGCTAAAAAAGTATAAACAGCTGAAATACCAAAAGTCCCAGCACCCCTCACATGAATGAGCTGAACGTTTTCATATGTGAATTGTTGAAATAGCACAAAAACTGTGGAACGAGTTAGGTGCCGAAAAACATACGGAAGCAAACATGATCTCTGTAGTGTGAATGCTGTGAAGCGTCACACAATTATCCAAACTTATTATTCAATCGTTACATCGTTGTCACTTGTGCACATCAGAAGAGCAGAAACATGAGGGAGAAACAAAATGAAGAAGTTATTATTTGGAGGTACAGCTGGGGAAATGAAGTGGTTGTTGGTAAACAGTTCAGTCCACTGACCTCCTCTGGGTTGGAGAAAACTGTGACCAGAGATCACCACYGCCACTCCTCTCGCCTGCAGCTTTTCCCTCCAACCCTCCAACACTTCCCTCGAGTCGTCCTGATGGACACGCAGTGACAAAAAAATCACTTCACTGAGATGTAGGACACTCAGACGTACAAATGTGTAAACAAACAAACATACAGTGCTTCCATCATCGAACACTGACAGCTCCATGGATCCAGTGAAGTCTTGGTGTAAAACACCCCGCAGGCACTCATCCAGCCAGCAGGATGCATTGTACACGGGCATGATGATGCTCTGAACACAGGAAGAAACAGAAAGTTCACACTTGGTGCAGCGTGACGCTGTGGCAAAACAAAAAAACACCAACAGACATATGGAAACAAACTTTAATCCAGGAGGGAAACGAAACTGAAAATGAGTAAAACTGCCACAAGTCGCACTTCCTAAACTAAAGGAATCATGTAAAAASAGGCAGAAAGTCACACGAGATTAAATGAAGGAAAACCTAAATGACTTTTTCTTCACTGGATGAAATGAGCTGGCCTTAAAAACTGAGCAGAGTCTCATCAGAACCAAGAGGAGTCAGCAGGTCTGGATGTGCTTCAGTTTTCTCATAATAAATGATTTAATAACTGATCAGAATAAGTCAATTAAAGCACTCATTTGGTAAAGAATAAGTGACAAGAGAGTKGATCCTATTGAGCTAAAGTCACTCAGATCTGTGAGATTTACCCAAAGAGTAAACAGAAAACTTCTGCATTTTTCTTTTTTGCTCACATGCTGTTTTTATTTTAATTATGTAACTTTGAAATGCCTTGCTGCTGAAATGTGCTATACAAATAAAATTTGATTGGTTGATTCCGCCTTGTAACAAACAGGAGAGAAAGGTTAAACACTTGTAGTGAGTGCCCTTCACCCACCACATCCACCGAACCTTCCTCCTCCTGCCCTCCTCCTCCTCCTCCTCCTCCATCTCCTGCTACCCGGACCCGCTTCAGTGTGTTCGGGTCCATTTCTAAACCCCTGTCCTGCTGCTCCAGACTCTCGCTTGTCCGTTAGCAGACGCTTGACATCGCTCGTTCAAAGAGAAAAACGAGAGAAAAACGAGAGAAAAAGCTTTGTTGACGTCGAGGAGTGAGCCATGCGCTGAGCATTACAACCACTAAGCGTTTAATGTCCGATTCCTCTTGACGTAGAAGAACTATAAGTCCATGAAAGTGTCTACAGAATGTGTTTTGTTAGTTTAAGTCGTGGATTTTGAGCTGGTTTTCCGAAACGAGAAGCGTAAATTTGAACCGTCCGGTAGCAACACAGAAACTTCCGCAAACAATGAATCCAGGACACCTGATTGGCTCCTGCAAATCACGGACAAACACTCTATTCGCTCCCTTTGCTGTCAGTCATCAACAACGGTGACGTAAAAGCAGTGTTCAAATTTCATTGGTTGAATCCTAATTTTATTAAAAGACGTGGAAATATGGGATTGTTTTAGTTAAAACAGCGCCACAAGGTATTAATTTATTAATATTAATACATTTGGCCGTTTAATGTGGATTTTACCTTTCCTCTGATAATGTTTTGTAGTTTTAATTTAACACTAAAGTGCTTTTAGAAACCACTATTTATTAGGTCATTGAAATCTTTTATTTTTTTCATGAGTTTGTTGTGTGGTATTTTTTCCTTTTGTTAAACTTTTCCGGTAGATTTTGTGATCTTAAAGTTATCATGATGTAAACATGGCACCATTAGTACATTTATATCCTCTCAACATGCCAGGATAACTGATTTTCAAAAATTGACAAGGTTTGTTCCAAAGTAGGGTAGGGCCAAAGTTTTTTTTCTTAAGTTTGGTTGTAGTTTAAACTACATTGTATGATGTAGCATCCAGTTTGAAGTTTCCTAATGATTTTTTTGTCTGTTTGTTAAATAAAATAGTTCTTCATACATGCTTTGATTTTGAATATATCAGTTAAAAGTACTGATTTTCATCACTGGAAGAGTTGACACAACTCCAACAATGGAGGTGGCTCCATTGTGTGGGGACCTATAAAGGCAGCACAATTTTTATTACTTTATTTTATCATTTTTAATTAGTTTTATGACTAACCCAATTTAAGTCAGGGTTTTTTTTTGTGTTTCTGTTGTGCTGTTTAAAATTTTCCGTCATGTAGTGAAGAACTTGGACGTGCTGTTTGATCCCATTGTCTCTTTTGAGTCTCATCTAAAACAGGTAACAAAGACTGCTTTCTGTYATCTTAGGARCATTGCAACAATTAGACATTTGAAAATGCAGATGGTCTCACCCATGCATTTGTGTCTTCATGCATCGACGACTGCAATGCTCTTCTAACTGGGCTACCAAAGAGATGTTAGAGACCTGCTGATGGTTCAAACTGCAGCTGCTCACATTCCAACCAAAACAAGGAAATATGAACCCAGTACTGTCATCTCTCCATTGGTTGTCTTGTCATGTTCGAGCAGACGTAAAGGTTTTGCTGCTCACTTACAAGACATTAAATGCTTTAGCATTTCCTTACCATTTTGATCTTCTGCACCTGTAAGTTCCAACTTGTGCTCTCTGATCTCAGGACACTGGTCCTTTAATAATCCCTAAAGCATGGAGCAATCTCCCTCAAGACATCAGGCTGGCCTGCTCTGTGGGAGTTTTTTAAGGTACGCTAAAGACCCATTTGTTCACACCGACTTATGTGTCTTAACTTTTACAGTTAAAAGTTATATATATA